AGTTTCGACGCATACTATTTCCGCGTGAGATGTGAATGATTTCTACTATATTATTATTATTATTATTAATAATAATAATAATAATAATAATATTAATAATAATAATATTAATAATAATAATATTAATATTATTATTACTATTATTATCTCTACAGTTTCTTTTCGTTATTGCCACTCTTCTTCTTATCTGGAAATTGGTGAATGGTTTTTAAGGGAAGGTGATTATAAAGATATGGTATGAGTGATGCTGAAGCAAGGGCAGGGAAAGTAAGGAAGCGGAGGAGAAAATCGGCCACGAATTTCGTTATGTTCATCACGAGTACTCAACTGATCTATTAGAATTTACTCGTCAGTGCCCAGATGTGGAAATTCATCTTTCTAGTTCCTACTCTACGAGTCGTTTGAAATGCTATAGTAACATGTTTTTTTTCTTTTTCGCAAGTAATATTCTGGTTATCTAATAAAAGGCAACTGAAGTTGGAACTCGCAGAAACGTCTTTCCAGTACTGCTTCTTACAAATATTTTATATTGCTTTTAGGGTTTTTTCTGTCACGTTAAATACAAAATTAAACGGTACTGCAAACTATATTGGGCCAACTATTTTGTAAGAAATTTCCTAAAAAAATGCAAAGACAGAAAGAAACGTTTTTTTAGATTTAATGAAGGGTTAATAGGAGTGCCAGAGAGTCGTAAGATGAACTTATCCAGAGAAAAAATATTTTAGAAGCCTGATAACAGTTGTTAGGGTGCAATATGTTCTAGTATTTGTATAATGAAGTCATCTATGCATTAATAATTCCTGTCACGTTCTTACGAAAAGATCTTCCGAAAACTAACAACTCAACCGAACCAACTGGAACCCTCGAATAACTCTCCTAGACCATCAACTTCACCCGCCACCTCTCCCCACCGCGTGGCGTACAGAACTTCACCCGAGCCTCTCCGCATTGTCATAGGCTTTTCTTCCGACTCATGTCCTCCGGGGCCGCATTCCTGCTCCGTGGAGAGGTGCTCGGCGTCGCGACGCTCAGGCGAGGACGCGGAGGACGCCGAGGGCGGAGCTCCCTGCGTGCCGTCGCACTAATGCCCCCACGGCGCGAGGCGTGCCGCAGCCGCTAGCGTCCACGTCGTCGCCTTCAATAGACCCTCGGCGCGGCGCGCCGCTCGCAGAGATGGTCTCGTTGTCATAGGCAGCGAGCGCACCGGGACGTTGTGAATGGCAGACAGAAAGGAGATGTAGAGTGGGGGCGACGAATTGCTAAGTCGTTCACACTCGAGAAATAAAAATAATTCTTTTGTGTGGCTGTGGTATGCCGATGAGGACAGGCTGTGTGACATATTTCTTGCGAGGTGGAAGAGACGTAAAAAAACAACGTAAAAAATGTGTATGGAATTATGAGATTTAAAACAGGTATATATGCATTAACAACGCAGAAAATATGCGTTATACATTTCGCATTATGCGCATACAATTTCGAAAATAATATCAAATTATCATAATTTGTTATTTTTATCCGTTATAATTACAATGCAAACAATGCAAATTATGATAAAAACTTACCTGAATTATGGATTGGAACTGTTGCTGAAGGTCGCTTACTTTTTCCCATTACAGTGTATAGCAATCATCATTTTAAAATTTGGAAACTGAAATATTCTTTGTTGCTTCTGAAAATTGATTTGTGCTGGGAAAAACAACGTTCAGCCTCTTTATCATTGGCGGATATTTAAAATTTGCTACTTCTTCCAGGGGCCATGTTTTCTTAATATCTGACAATTTGCTCCACGTTTTACCGGACATGATATTGGCAATAAATCGTAATGTATGGTAACACGGTCTTTTTTATTATGTTGTTAAATTTTTCTTCTACAATATTTCAATTTTTTCCTCCGCGGATTTAGTAAGAGGATTTCTGTTAAATTTATATTTGCGACAATTGGCACGTCATTTTGTTCGACCGCTGTGATGGCTATGGAAATCCAAACTAACCCAGATTAGATTATCTTTAATACAAACACGAATTTCATGTAAATGTTATTCATAAATTAATAAAACATAATATTTCCGGAGAGTCGATTCATGAGGAATAGTTTGTTTCGTATGTTGCTAAGAACGTACGTAATTTCGGTTAAACAGTGGAATGTCAGCGCAAGTAAAAGACTCACATACGTAGGTCCGCATAAAAGATGGACAACTGTAAGGTGGGTAAAACGCAAATCGACACTTCCGTTGTCGCCCCGGCCACCACCGCCACCGCCGCGCCCATCCTTACTCCGGCATCGTTGTAGCCACCACCGCCAGCCGTCATCGCCACCGCTTCCGCCAACTGCCGCCGCCGCCATCGCCACCTTCGTCTCCGCAGCGCAGCCTTGCGCGAATCCCAAGCACGCGTGCCCGCCCGCTCAGCCATCCCTCTGTCGCACTGTGGCCGCTTATTCCGTGCCACGCGCCGCGCCGCGCCACCTCTCCCGTCTTTCTCCTCCGCCTCCGCCTCCTCCTCGGCGTGCCGGACAAAAGGCGCGAGAGAGGGCGCGACCGCACCTCAGTGGGTCGCTCAGACTCAACGAGCGCGTTCCGCGAACAGGGATGTCTTCTGGCTCCGAGAAAATGGCAGCCACTTGCGAATTCTCACGAAACGACGCTGCAATAGGGACTTCCGTGCGTTGCGGCCGCGACAACTAACCAACAGAACGCTGTCCCCTGTCTGACGTGTTTAGATTAAGGGATTCACAGCAAATCTCACATATTTACTTTTACTATTCGTATCTCTTACACTATTTGGTTTAAATGGCCAACTGCTTCTGAATGGTAAAAATATAATTAAATTAAATTACTAGCGCACTTTAACACCCTAATTATCATTGTAATGACAACAAAAGTGTCACTAGCATTAACACAATACATATTTGCCTACAATGCGGTATAAATACATATTTGCTTTCGAAACCCTGATGGATACTATTTTCTGATTACCTAAATGTTATAGAATGCTTGTTCCTAAGACAGAATATATAATTATGCCAATAATAGTTGGACATGATTCCACATTCAACGATATCGTCTTCTTTTGAAATTAGAGAAATCTCTAATCTTTTAATACGAGTACTACATTTAAAAGTCTTATGAATACTTTCATTGTAAAATAACACCTTTGATATTATCCTTCATCACAGCAATTTCCTCCAACAAAGAAAATTCTAGAAGCTTAGAGCAATCTAGTTCTACGAGACAGTTACAAAAACGAACGTCGTAAACCACTAGACAACAGCTCTTCCTTTGTCAGTACGTCGAGCTGTACAAATTGCCACCGATAGCCTGACGCGCGCAGGCACAAAGTACCACAACCAGCGCGTCTAAATGGCGTAGCCACTTGTCACCGTTGTGGCCGTGAGCTAAGGTTATTCAGGAGCGAGTCGATATAAATACAGAGACTTACTACGACGACTGAGCAATTTGTTCCGCTCGATTGATCAAACCACACACTGTGCCGCTGCGGCCAGTTGCGGGGGGAGCAGGGGAATGGGACGGAGGAGAAGACCGCACGCGCTAATCCAGGGGTTTGCATTCACGCAAGTCGGGATGCTGCTCGATTTCGGGGTGATGGGTCACACGGGTTGGGAACAAACAACGCTGTATGCATATTATAACGAAATAAATATTACTTATATTGCCCACAAAACATAAACCCATTTTACTTCTTTCTGGGTTATCATGTACGAACACGGTAACAGAAATACATCTTGTATTTCGTACCATAACGTATTGCCTAAAGCCTGTCCATGAAATGTAATACATGTATTAAAAATCAGTCAAGATCCACGTTTCGAAACTAAAAAAAAAGAAATTAAGTCTGAACACGAGATAAAATCACGATCATAAAATCAAGAATAAGTTTTGTTGACGGCATATTATTGAGACAAGAATGTGAAATCACAAAGTGCGCTCAACCACTATCCAACGTTTGCAACGAGCAGAAATGTGGATTCAAGTGCAAGAAATATTACTAGCCGAACGACGAAGTAACTAAACCATGAGCGAATCATGAAAGCTACCAACAAACCAATCAACAAGCTGAATCAAACGGCGAGAGAAACCGACATCATGTGTGGAACGCAAACGAACTAAGCGGTAAACGATCGCCAAGAAGCAATGCTGTCCGACCACTGGGCCCAATGCGCCACGCAACCGTCGCTTGTCGACCCCTGGGACGGCGGCAGCGGCGCCGCCCGCCCTACAAATCGCGGATGTGTCGCCGAGAATGCGCGCGCTGCAGCGGCGGCGGCGGCGCAGGCGGCGGAGGCGGCGGTGGCGGCGGAGGCGGCGGAGGCGGCGGAGGCGGCGCAGACGCGCGT